TGTACTTAATGTATTCCTTGAGTTGTGGTGGTGGGTGACAGGGAGGTGAAGTGAGATCCATCTACAGGAGCTGCTTTTTTTAATCTCTGCATTGCACAGTCTCTGTTAGTCAATCACTGGGATAGGCTGATATTCCCACTGGGCTCTGTTTCTTTTGTGTGGAATTGTGAAACAGTGAGGAAAAAATCCTTATGGAGCTCTTCTGGGATTCCTGATCTTTTTGATGCTGTCAGATGTTTCCTTTTCCCCACGTGTAGGATCCTGAACTATTTTTAGCTTTTCTTATTGAAACTCTTTTATGATTCTCAACATCCTCTTCATATTTTAGTTCTAATGTGTCCATCTGTGGTGACTACTCTGGATTTAGACAGTTTGCTATACTAATGACTTGTATTCTTAGTTAATACTTCCATGACTTCTGTTTTGTGCTTCATAATATGCTGTTCAACACTGAGCTGATGTTGTTACTTAGGAGTTAAAATCTGTGGCTCCAAAACTTCTTCCCCAAGTGGCAATTGCTGCTGCTCTCCTACCTGATTGACAGTGATTGGAGTTCTGCTCTTGCTGGTGTTGCCTATTTGCTAAATAACTTGAAATACTTCTGGAGGGTTTTTTTTTTTATTACTCTAACTGAATGTGTGCCACCAGCATACTCTGTCATCTTCCTAGGTAATCCTTCCAAATCAGGTTCAGCATCTGGGGAATCTGCTGGTGGTTTCTGTCCTTGTAAAAATTGATGGTCTCTTCCTTCCTTATCTCTTCTACAGCTGCTCAATGAAGGAAAATACACAGTAACTTAGTCCCAGAGTAGCAGGAGCAGGAAGATGACTGTGAACAGTAGCTCTAAAAGAGAAGAGAGGTTGGTGCTATAAAGTTCATCTCAAAACCGTAGCAGTGATTATTTTATCAGTTTTCCTGGTTGGGACTATAAAATCCTGGGCAGGCACCAAATGGTGTTTTAGTGTTCTCTCTGAGTGAATATTTCCTGTTACATAACGATGAAAAATTTTTTTGGGGTGGGGGGAGAATATCACATGAGAAAACAGAATTGATGATTTTGAGAGTGGAATATTTATGTACCTTTCTTGGGAATTTTCCTCTACTTTTTTTAAATATATATATGTATACACACACACACACTTAGCTGCAAGGAAAGTCACTGGTATAAGGCTTAGGAAAGTCTGTTTCAGATAATCATTCTGGGTTGGATTAGTTAATTATGATATCAAAGCTCTCTGTAGAGCTATTTAAACTCCTGGTGAGGAGGCAATTCATGCATGTCCATGCTATGCTTCTCTTTGTTAGAGATGCACTTTTAACATGTGAATAATGTCTCTGAAACAGCACCTGATGCAGGTTTGGGTTGGATCTTGGTCTGCTCTAAGGCCCCGTTCTGGAGTTCAAGAGCAGAGGAAGGTGAATTAGCAAGGCTGAGGTTCAGTGGTTTAAAGACTAAACAAGAAATGGTTGAAAGACTGAAGTACCATTCCATTTCTAAGCTCACGTCAAAATTAGTCCTGTTAGAGTACATTCATTATTTATTAGATCACAGACTATTTGTTGAGGAACTGTTTTCTCTAAGTATATGCTCATGTGAGATTCAGTCCAATAAATACATTTGTGGTAAGAGGAACTGGGTGGGTGAGCCTCATAATAATGCTCACGGATTAGGTTGAGGATTTTTGGTACTATTTGAAAAGCTTCTACTTCCTCTAGAAAACAAATAACTAGTTTTTTTCATCTGATTCAGAGGAAACATGACAGAAAAGCTGGTTTCTATACTTTAAGTTGGTCAAAGGAAAAAAATCTGGTTACTGCTGTTGGTGCATACCTGTCTGCTGAAATTTAATATGTAGAAACAGAACACCTCTGTAAAGGAATGACAGTAAAATTTGTTTAATTTTCATTTGAGTTGGAAGGTATTGACTATAGTGTTGATTCTGCCAGTTCTTTTGTAAACAGCAAAGACTTTCATTACACTCTGTGTGGAAGGGGCAGTTAAAGCTGGGCCCAGCACAGTGGAGTAGCAGTTTGGTTTTTCTGTTCATATGTAGGCTCAGAGAGGGGTAGAAAAGGTCATCTGGGCATTTTATCAGGCTCTTGATTTGCCTTCTAGTGCTTTACTTGGTGATGATGGTGTGCAGAAAACTCTGTTGAGGAGATGAATGTGAATGGAAAACAGCACACAGTGTTCTGTACTTTTGTCAGAGATGCATTGTGTCAGACTAATATGTCTTATTTCGTAACATAACTGATTTTCTTAGAAAACAGGAAATACACTGGATCTAATTTGTCTGGATCTAGTGAAGAATTTGACATTTTGGCCCTCT